GATGCAGATGTCATGACAAAAGAGTTCACACTGGTAAGTATAATCACAGCACATCATCACTATGCAAACACTGTTAACACTGATGTCATCTCAGTTTGCATGGAACTGAGGACAACTAATAATTAAGAATTTAAATGAGATTATTTTCAACCACAGAGGCATAAAAATGGCAGAAAAATAAATGATTTTTTTTATAAATTATTACTATTATATGTTTGCATTCATCAGACTGCACAGGTTTTCTCAAACTTGGCAAAGAAAAAAAGTACTTTTAAGGAGAAAAAAACCCTGCAATTCAGCATATGCCTATGTATTTCTTGAAAAATCCATTTGAAGTAGACTTTTCAAGATAAAAATAAAACCTGGTGTAGAAACAGAGGCACAATACTATGGGCTAGACACATCCAGTAAGGAAAATAAAACCAAACAAAATAAAACTGAGCAACCACTGTAAAGTCCATTGACTTCCAAATAACAGAAAGTACAAGAACATGTATTATTTCATCAGAAGGAAAAAAGGCAGAAATATTTTTAAAAAATAAAAAAGTAATCAGAACTCTTAAAAAATGCCAACAACTTTGGCCTTTTTTTTCCTTGGTTTTTGTTGTTGTTTTGTTGTTTTGTTTTTTCACAGAAAAGCATGACTCAGGAATAATACACTAGATTGCATATTGCTCATTCAGATAATGCTAAAAAACCCCAACAAAACAACAAACCAAAAACCCTAACATAGTCAAAAAACACAAAACCAAAAATCCTGTGTGCCATGTTAGGAAACACATCAAAAGTTTTGGCAACTGAAGGAGTACAAAGCCTTTACAAAGTTTTTATAGAATTATGTTTTTCTTCTTATGACATTTATGGATTTTTTTTTTATTTAAAAGGAAAAAAAATACACAGAAAGCAAAGCATATTTATCTTTAAAACACAATAATGAAGACTAAAAACTGAAGTATATATGCTAAAATAACCATTTTTTTTACTCACATAACACTATGCTTTATTACACTACAGTACGTTAACTACATACATGTACTAAACCCAAAGGATCATAAAAGTCCCCCTGCAAACACTACCTAATCAGTAATATCATTTTAAAAGAAGCAATTCACTCATTTCACAATTCTTGATAAATTACTATTACATATTTAGTAAAAAAATTACTGACAATAAGAAAGGCATTTATCCCACAGGGATTATTTCTATTATTTTTCCTTTAAATGTGTTTCAGTCACACATAAAAGCCTTCTCTAATCTCTCAATATAAGCACAAAACTTATCCAAAGACAAATCAATGTTCATAACATGAGAGAAAAATGCTACCACTGTTTTTATTTCTTTTCACTGTAAAAATCTAACTCATCTTTCGTAAGCAAAATGAGTTGCCAACAGATGTATCTCAAACGTAATTCCCTACATATGCTTTTGAAAATGCGATTGCATCCATTACCTGAAGAGTTTACAAAACTGTATCAGTTAATGCAGAACGCTTGTGTATTTGAAAGATAATTTTCTTAAAATATTTTAAATTTCCAACAAATACCCTGAAGACTCACGACATAAAAATTCGATCTACTACTAGCTGTGTTTCACAAAGAAAGCCATAAACTTGTGACTACTCACCATAAATAAACCATAAACAATGTACATAGGAAAAGGAACACCATTATAAGTTTTTTATTCACTTTCTACAAACTGTTTTAAGTAAGACCTAGACCCAACTAAAATATAAAACAATATTTAGCTATTTAAAATCACTAATTTTGCAGGTCAAAAGACACTGTTGTAGTGAAACTCAATCTAGGTACAGCAACAATACAGTATTTGCTATTAAAAGAACTATAAGCTATCAGATTTATAAGCAAATGTCCTGCTGTTCATAGATAAACCTGAACACATCATAACAGTGTTGAGTGTGAAACAGCTGACAGTGCATCTAATTCTACCTGCAGCAGCAAGAGACCCCTGGGTTTGCTAGAAGGTTCACTAACTCCTGAGCCCAACTGTTGAGGCAAGTTTTCTACGTCAAACTTGTGTCCTTTTTCCTTGCTGCTCCTTACTCTTTTTTGCATCCTCTGTAATGGATGCTCCAAGAACTGCATTTCTAGACTGCTGTTTCCTTCCACCTGAATATGCTGACCTTTAGTTGCTACAGGCTGCAAAAAATATTCAAACACATCAATGCCAAATGCTACACTCCTTATGCAGGTAGCAACTGTAAATGTGCAGCTTCAAAGCTCTAAAAGATCTAACAAAAATAACTTGGGGAAAAAAAAAAGCCACGCATTTAACAGAACGCAGATAGTCCTAATAATTCTCAGAGAAAAAGGAGGTGATTCTCCCCCTCTACTCTGCTCTCATAAGGCCCCACCTGGAACACTGCATCCAGTTCTGGAGCCCCCAATACAAGAGAGACATGGAGCAGCTAGAACAAGTGCAGAGAAGGGCCACCAGGATGATCCAAGGGCTGGAGCACCTCTCCCATGAGGACAGGATGAAAGAGTTGGGGTTGTTCAGCCTGGAGAGGAGAAGGCTCCAGGGAGATCTTATAGCAGCCTTCCAGTACCTGAAGGGGGCCTACAGGAAAGCTGAGGAAGGACTTTTCATAAGGGCAGTTACTGACAAAACAAGGGGAAATGGGTTTAAGCTGGAAGAGGGTAGGTTTGGATTAGATATTAGGAAGAAGTTCTTCACTGTGAGGGTGGTCAGACACTGGAACAGGTTGCCCAGTGAAGCTGTGGATGTCTCCTCCCTGGAAGTGTTTAAGGCCAGGCTGGATGAGGCTTTGAGCAACCTGGTCTAGTGGAAAGTGTCCCTGCTCATGGCAGGGGGGTTGGAACTAGATGATCTTTAAGGTCCCTTCCAACCCCAACCATTCTATGATTCTATAATGCACTGACAGAGTCTACAGGGCTTCGTGTTTTAATTTCTAATTCAATAATGACTCTCAAACACAATTAACATTAAATTCACTGCTATAGCCAAAAAAAAAAAAGACAAATATTTGCACATTTTTAATATATACAAGCTACATACAAAAATAATACATTTGACAAAAGATCTCTCACTTGACTAACCACAGCAATGAATACGTTCTATTTGTATTTCAGATGCAGGTACCTGCTGACATTACAGCCATTCACACCTTTCCCAACAGGGCAACCTGTTCCTTTTCATTTACTACTAGCTTGTTTTCCACTTTTTCCATATTACTTTTTTTTTTTTTTTTTTCCTTTCCTTTTTTTCTTTTTACATCCCAAATCCAGAGAAAATACACACAGCAAAAGTCCGTTAACTGTCAAAGACTATTTTGGAACTTAATGTAGGAAACCAACTGGAAGAACAAACAATCTGAACAGATAGTTCTGGCACCATAGTTATCCTGTAATCCCCTGGAACAAAGGACTGTTTGCTCAAAGATGCAGACAATGGCAGGAGAAAAAACTTGGTAAGGGAATAGGGGGTGGAGACACCCCCCCAGCCTTTCTGAGAAATGTCTCAAACACTCACAAGAAGGGCAGGCATGAAAGGGGAAGGCAAGTGCCAGAAAGTGAGAGAAAAAAGAAGGAAAATAATAATAAGAGGAAATAACTACTGGATTGGTGCTCCTACAGACCAGAGGATTGCCCCGTTGGCTGAACCAAAACTGGAACCTGGACTTGTGATCCCTGTCATACTCTCTTTCTCTCTTTCTCACACACTTTTACTTTCTTCCAGTAAGTAACACAAGGCCTACATCTCATAAGTGTGGCAAATACTAAGCATTTCTGCTACCCAACTACTTATTGACATGGCTAGTTGTGAAATAAAAGTCTCCACCTGTGGACCTCATGTATTGCACACATTCCAAACAAGAGAATGGGCAAATCTGAGTCACATTTCCCTCTCTCCTGCTACTCGAAAACTTTACAAGCAGGAATCCAGGATGTGACACTCAAAAAAAAAAAAAAAAATTATCTATAAATGCACTCATTCCTTAGAAAACTCCAAATATCAAACAGCTCATATAACCCAGTATAACCTTTTTTTCACCCTTTATGAGAAGTGTGAAAAAAATTACAACTCCATCACAAACCTTTCATGTTAAATAATGGAAGCAGGTATTTTCATGTCATGTTGGCCACCTCTAAGGTCATACTCAAAAGAAAGCATGATCTCCATTTATTACTCTGCTTACAGCGAGTTTTACTTTAATATTACAGCAGCCTCTAGAGACCTCAGGATGTATAGAGTTTCCTCTTTTTTCTTTTAATGCATGTCTGTTAAAGTTTCCAAAGTACTGATGATTTAGACCTAAACAGAGATCCCAGTACATAGACTACATTTTTGTACGGCTTGTTAAGAAAGAAAAGTACAAGAACATTCAAGAAAAATCCCAGACCTTTTGCATTAAATCTGAGGGATTATTTGGCTTCCCTGTCTCTAAAATCCTACCTTTCCCTCAGTCCTTACAGTGACTAAATAGGAAAACCAGGAGAAAATAGTTTTACAGCAGCCAAAAAGACTCCCCACCCCATTCAGAGAGAGGGAATACAAAAACAATTAAGTTTACCACACTTACTAAACTCTTAACTGGACAGCACGCAAAACGCGCTGTCAGTGAACTGAGGGAAGAGGACTTCGGTTATGGCTTTTTTCTTTATTTACTTGTGAACAACATGGAAGTCCATTAAAGTTGCGTGAGCCTTTATCAAATTAGATTAACAAATGGATTTATGTCACCTTATTTCAAAATTAATGACTTTGAGACACTTAATACTGAAACAAATAAGCTCTTCTATAATCAAGACAGAAGTACAAACCACCACAGTGTGATTTATTTGACCTTTCTTCAAAGAAGACAGAGTTCTCTATCACTCCTTGTTTGTTTTTTGGGGGTTTTTTTATGGCTGACTGTGGAGGAAGTTTAGGAACCACCTTTTAGATGACAAAGTCAGGAAAAAGAATTCCACCAACACTGTCCAATATTGGTTCTAGATACATTAATTTCAACAACCTACCATCTACTGTTAGAGTACCCATTTTGGATTCCAAGAAATCAAACAGCGTGCTTGGTGCAGACGGTCTGGCGTTTCCTAGCTCTTCTTCATCTTCAGCTCTTATTCGTCCTCGGCCTTTCCCTTTACCTGTAAACATCACAAGTTATTTGTGAGTGGGGAATGAATTAAAAAAAAGTGTACACACTACTTGATTTATAAAATATATTATACGTATTTTCTATCTTTAAAAAATTCTACCATGGACAAAATAGATACAGATATTTGCCATTTCACAGAATCACAGAATGATACGGATTGGAAGGGACCTCGAAAGATCATTTAGTCCAATCCAAGGATATTCAAATCTGACTTCAAAATTTTTAACTAGAATACAATACACAGAGGTCTTTTCTAAGTATTTGCTTTCAGGTTTGCAATACATTAACTTGCAGGAAAAAAACCACAGATATGCCCTTCTATAACTACATTACTAATCCACCATACACCAGTTCCTTTGCTCGTAAACAATGTTTTAAAGCATTTCTTTGCAAGTTTTACCTCTAGGTGGTGGTCCCTGAATGGGTTTCTGCTTACTGCTGTTCAGAAGAAAATTTAATGCTGCCTCTAGGCTGTTACTGTTATCCATAAGTGCCTGTCTGGCTGCTTCTTTGCTGAAACCCATCTCTGTTATGTGTTTTAGAGCCTTTTCATCAACCTGAAATAAAAGGTACAAACAGAACCAATCGTAAGATACAACAGAAACTTGATAAAAACAACAGATTTTACTTTATCATTAATTTTTAATTCAAACACTATTTCATTGATGATAAATACTCCTGTTTTATATGAAATTTCACATACAAACTCTCATGTGTCCAAACAATCAGTTAGTAGTGGGGTTTTTAAATATTATGATGCTGATTTTTAATTCATCAGCTTCCAGTTCTAATATTATGTGGTTTCAAGAACAAATTCCCCTAAGTCTACTTCTGCCTCTGCTGTACACTGTAATAGTATGACAGACTGTAATAAACCTTCTCTGAAATGAAAACTAAAAGGAATCTCTCAAAGTAACAGTGGTCTAAAATATAACCATTTACTCTTGTTCGAACCCCTTCACAACTTTCCAGACAATACAAAACCCATTTATACACTTCTTAAAATATGGAGAAAATATAATCACTAAAGATTATGCAGAAGAAAGCAAAGAAATACAATTTACTTCTGCAAAAATACAAGCTTTCTTATTTTAGACTGTACAGAGCATGATGACAAAAAAGCATTAATTACAGAAAATAACCTTGAATCTGCATTGTGCTTTAAAGCACTCAAGTTAGAACTGCCACTTCCAGTGCAGACAGACCTACATGCACTAAATATGAAATGGGACCAGGCCCTCTGTCCTTCCTCACCCCATACCCACCCAATATAACACCAGTACTCATAGAATCATAGAAAGGTATGGGTTGGAAGG